TCATTGTTGTTTGGCGGGTCCGGGCTGGGGATTCGAACCCACCACCTTAGGTGTACGTGGCTGGCGCCTTAGCCAGTTGAGCTATAGGCGCTGAGCCTACAATTTATATTTTAATTGGGGTGAGATTTGAATATAGTCCTTTCCATCTGAACAAGCAAGTTGTTCCAGTATCTTTCATTCTTTGTTTTGTTAATGGATATGTACAACAATTTGAGCATGGGAATTATTCAGTCCTTAAAAATTTGTCACTAGGATGGCACCTCTAGGCACCGGCCCCATATGCAGGAGATGGTGGGTTCAAACCCAGCCCTGGCCAAAAAACTGCAAAAAAACCCCAAAATAATTTGTCACTAAATGTTCTGGGTCTGTTGACTTCTAAGAGGCATATGCCTGGATACTATTTTAGAATTATTACTATTATTGGGTCATTTCAGTTATTTGTGGAATCTTGTAATGTATATTTTCCTATAAAATTTCTCATTTCTACTAAAAATAGAAAATTTAGCTGGCTGTAGTGGTAGGAGGCTCAGGAAGGAGGATTACTTGAGCCCAGGAGTTTGAGGTTACAGTGAGCTGTGATGATGTCACTGCTTTCTAGCTGGTTTATTTATTTTGTTTTTTGAGACTGTGTTTCACTCTGTTGCCCTGGGTAGAGTGCTTTGGCATCATAGCTTACAGCAACTTCAAACTCTTGGGCTCAAGAGGACTGAGGTCTTCTTCCCTCAGTCTCCTGAGTAGCTGGAACTATAGGCACCCGGCAGTTTTTTTTAGAGATGGAGTCTCGCTCTGTTCAGGCTGGTCTCAAACTTTCGAGCTCAAGCAAACCACCCATCTTAGCCTCCCAGAGTGCTAGGATTAAAGGTTTGAGCCACGGCGCCCAGCCTCTCTATGTATTTACATTTAGTAATACACTATTGTTCTTAAAATGGACAACATTGGCTTGGCACCTGTGGCTCAAGCAGCTAAGGCGCCAGCCACATACACCTGAGCTGGTGGGTTCAAATCCAGCCAGGGCCCACCAAACAACAATGACACTGCAACCAAAAATAGCCGGGCACTGTGGCAGGCACCTGTAATCACAGCTACTTGGGAGGCTTAGGCAAGAGAATCACTTAAGCCCAGGAGTGGAGGTTGCTGTGAGCTGTGATGGCATGGCACTCTACCTAGGGTGACAGCTTAAGGCTCTGTCTCAAAAAAAAAAAAAAAAATTGACAACATTGTCTTAGGTCCACAATCATGTCTCTTGAGATGGAGTCTCTCTATATTGCCCAGTTTGGAGTGCAGTGACTAATCCATGATCACAGCTCACTGCAGCTTTGAACTCCTGGGCTCAAGCAATCCTGCCTCGTCCTCCTGAGTAGCTGGGATTACGTGCCCACCTCATGTATCTATTTTATTAGTCTTTATATAGAATATTTATTATATTGTTTGTTATGAATTTCTCCTTACAGTAGCTAAATCTCACTCCATGTATAATCAGCACATATGCAGTAGAACCTCTTTAAGTTGACCACTGAAAGAACTAGCAAACTGGTCAACATAGGGAACTTCCATTGAGTACACATGATGTATGTTTGGGCTATGAAAATCAGGTCAACTTAAGGAGGTGGTCAGTGTAGGGAGGTAACGTTGTTGTTTCTCCTTCTAGAAATGTGATACCTCAAAGCACAAAGTGCTGGTAGTGTCTGTGTGCCCTCAGTCTTTGCCTTATTTTGCTGCTAAATTCAACCTCAGTGTAACTGATGCATCCAGAAGGCTCTGTGGCTTCCTCAAAAGTCTTGGTGAGTTGCCTTTTGATAAATTTGTGAATTTATAACGTGTCTATAAGTGCCGTTTTTATCTCTAAAGTTCAATTTTCAAGGGTGTAGGATAGATAAACTCCAGGAGAGTCACATGGAATATAAAAGGACCTTGTCCGGCTCAGCGCCTATAGCTCAACCGGCTAAGGCGCCAGCCACGTACACCTAAGGTGGCGGGTTCGAATCCCCAGCCC